ACACACACACACACACACACACACACGCACACTCACGCACACACACGAACACTCACGCACACTCACACACTCACACACTCACACACACACACGCACACACACACACGTTCGCCATCACAGACGCTTACCTTCCAAGTAACAGCTGGAGGACGAAGAAAGACCTTTTTTGGATTTACAGCCCACCAATTTTAGACAAATCTCCAACATTTTCATTTGCTTCCCAACACGACCAATTGAAAAAAAGAGATCCAGTTCCCAAACTCTATCGCCGTTTTCTCTTTTATCCAAACGATTGCTCAAAAAAGTGACTGAAAACTAAAAAATCTGTCCACAAAGTTTGTGTTAGTAGCTTATGTCATGTATACCGTGAAGATGAAGTCAAAGACGGCTAAAAACACTGACATCCTGACTTCACGCGGTTCTTCTAGCAACTTTCCAGAGTAAGAGGCTCCATTTTTCCCCCCACTCCAGTTCTTCTCGTTTTCTCAGTCCGGTGAGGAACTAGCCATCCACACATATAATTCTCATGGAAAAAACACGAAGAGGAGTTAAACGAAGCACTTTGACGACAGTGTTGTCGGCTGAGAGACGATCCACAGGAAAAGCAGGACGCTTGTGCTGATCTCTGCCAACAAAGAGGCCCTTTCAGAGCCGATGACATCATGGCCCTGGCTCCGCCCCTCCAGAAACCTGCAGCATTATCTGCAGAGAGAGTGTAACTGGAACCTGCCTTTGTCTTTCAGTCCCACACACTCTCGCTGTCGCTCTCGTCCCAAATGTTTTCACTTTGAAACAAAGGCACAAGTGCACTTCATAGGGTCAGGATTACTCCTGCCAAACAGCCAGCATGAATAAAAGAAATTACTAAGACAATTCAGCTCATAATTTATTCATGCCGCAATGCATGATGGGAGCCATAGATGAGTTTTTGATGGTCACCGTTGTTGTGATTCTCACGCTGATTCTTGATGTCTGTGTGTCTAAATTAAAGATTTTTTTTTCAAGTTTTTTATTAAAATAAGTTTTAAAAACATCTGACTATAAGATATCATATTGCTCAGAGGGTTGATGTAATCAATAAAGAAAACCTAACTCAGTTATTCAGGTCATGTCAAAACAATCAAAGCCACATGATCGCCTTTCGTCTGGTTTGTCTGGCTGTTATAACTCAGCCAAACAAAGTATAACATTAAAAAATGAAGGGTCAAGATCCCAACTAATGCAAACACTGACCAAAATTTAGATTTTCTACTTTGGTGATTCTGCTCATTAACATCTGGTGTCTTAATAATGGTCGATCATCACTTAATCACCTGATTATCTCATTGACTTTAACTCTACTTCAGTGTTAATTTGACACTCTTCAGTGTTACTTTTTAACACTCTTGAGTGTGAACTCAAAAAAACTCCCGGGAGAGTTAATTTAACACTGGGCTTTTTGCTGTGATTAAGCACAAATATCGTCACCTGCACTTTAAAGGCTGCTTTTAAAGAACGCTACAACTACTGATTAATTCAATAACTGAATAATCTGATGATGAATTGGGGAAAAAATAAAGAAAATTACATTAGACTTGAAAAAAAAGGTGGTGACCTCCAAACAATGTGCAAATTGAAGACTATATGAACCAAAATATAATGAAAGTATCCATGTTGTCTACACTACACATTAGAGCTGAAACGATTAGTCAACATAATTGACAACGTCGACAATAAAAAATAAAAATAAAAATTTCAACAGTTTTTTTTCAATCCCGTTAAGCATTAAGCCCAGAATATGAAAGCAATGCGTAAAGTTTCATGTTGAGCATTTTCCTCTCATAGAAAATAGTTATAAAGAAAAAAAAACTTAACGCGGCTTAATGCATTAAGAAAGTAATATTAAAAGGCCAATCTCAGTGTACTGATGATGCAAACTATATGCAGGCAAGCAGCCCAGGATATGAACGCAAAGTGCATGCATGTTAAGTGTTTTCCTCTGATAGAAAACCATTATAAAAAACGCTTAACGTGGCTTAATGGTTGAAGACAGTGATACTGTATAAAAAAGGCCAAATTCTGTAAATTTAATGGGTCTGGCTTCCAGTCTCATCGGCTTCCAGCAATTTTTAGCTGTATACAAAACAGCTCATTTTGCTGCTTGATATTGCAAACCGGTGATTCTTACCATA